TGAATTACCCATAGTGTCCAGGGATGTGCAGGTTAGGTGTTCGGCCATGGTGAATTACCCATAGTGTCCAGGGATGTGCAGGTTAGGTGGATTGGCCATGGTGAATTACCCATAGTGTCCAGGGATGTACAGGTTAGGTGGATTGGCCGTGCTAAATTACCCATAGTGTCCAGGGATGTGCAGGCTAGGTGGGTTAGCCATGGGAAATGGAGGGTTACAGGAATGGGATGGGACTGAGTAGGGTGCTCTTTGGAGGTTTGATGTGAATTCGATGGGCTGAATAGCCTGCTTGCACTCTGTAGGGATTCTATGATTTTGCTTACCTTTCCCATTTTCATAATCTTTCACTCCAAAACTGACTTTCGTCCGACACTTCACCCAGTTTCCAATCCAGTGAAAGTCCATGGTCACCAATCTGTGAGCAGTATACTGTAATGACCTTCTGCAGCGCGGCTGACTGGGAAATTCACTTCCTACATTTGCTGCCCACCATCAGTTATTAAACTCTGTAAAATATCCCATTTTGAAAGAAGAACAGAGAGGTTATTGCCAGTGTCCTGGCCAATATTGATCTGTCAGTCAACAAGGGGAGGCAACGGCCTAGTGGTGTTAACGCTGGACTGTTAATCCAGAGACCCAGATGACATTCTGGGAACCCGGGTTCAAATCCCACCACGGCAGATGGTGGAATTTGAATTCAATAAAATATTTGGAATTAAGAGTCTAATGATGACCAATATTTGTCCATTATTGGAAAAACCCATCTGGTTCACTAATGCCCTTTAGGGAAGGAAACTGCTATCCTTGCCTGATCTGGCCAACATGTGACTTCAGACCCACAGCAATGTGGTTGACTCTGAACTGCCCGCTGGGCAATTAGGGATGGGTGACATCAGCGACGTCCTCATCCCATTAATGAATGAAAAAATCACAAAAACAGAACTGATTGTTATCACATTGCTGTTTGTGGGAGCGTGCTGTGTGTAAACTCACTGTCGGTTTCCCATGTACATAAACATCAGTAAGATTGATGTACCTGCTTCAGCAAAGTCTACCTATCCTTGGTGTAATGTTCAGCTTATTCAGCTTCTACTTCCTGAGCAGGCTGCAATAGTACTGCCATGTTATTTAATAGATAACCACCTCCCGAGAAAATCACAACAGATCCCCAGGGTCCATGATGTGTACTTCGTGTTCCACCAAACTGTGTGCTGCTAATGTACTACGCAGTGTTGAAACACAAGACCCTGCTGACTGCAACACTGCTGTAAAAGCAATAGCATCTCCAGCAAAACTCCTCCAATGGCTATAAAGGTAAAGGTATTGGTACATGGCACCAAGCCATACAGATCGGGCAAATGCTGCTTTAATTTGGGTTTAAAAATAATTGGTATTCTTTA